TGGACATTTTTTTAAATACAGTTTAACAAGGTCTTCATCACACATACATTCTTTTATTTTGACATGTGATTCTTAGTTCTATAGATGGAAGGGTCTAAGTTGTCAGTAACATATGGTGATCCACCAATCACTGACAGTATTGAGGTTACCCAACAAAGAAACCAGTCCAACCTAAATATATGCTTACACCTTCATAAAGTTATAATAAACAAAATTTACAAGTAGTAAAATTTCCATTGCATACTCCCCATGATCTCTTATATTTAGGATTTCATCTCCAACTTTATCTTTTTACCACTCACAATAAATCTTTCATGAGCAATTCAAGTTCCTAATAATTCTGAACTCCAGAGTCAAGTCATCTCTTGATCTTCTATGTTCTAGAAAAACAAGCTAAAATCTGTTAGTCTATCCTTAGCTTAAACGTTTCAAACCAGAATTCATTTAGGTAGCCCACCTCTGAACTTTGTCAAAAAAATCTATCTTTTCTATGCTAAAGCGAATAAAGATATCCTAAATAGAGTAGAGAAGACAGAGATAAAGAAGTGTAAGTTGTGGGTAATGGCAGCAGGATTTAAAGAGGAATTCAAACTTTTGCCTGTAAGGAATACAGTAGCTAATAATGACTTTTAGGAAGTGGGAAACAGTATTAGGTCTAGAATTAGTGGATTTAATTGTAATGAGCAAGTTATATTAAACAACATATTTGAGCCTTTAGCTTGTGTAGATGAGGAACTATGGGAGGGAAAGAAAACAAAGGAATAACTAGAGATTGTAATGAAATACTTGAGGTTAAAGTTATAGGTGATTGTTTGCTATGGCATGTGGAAAGTACTGTCTGTAGGGAAAATAGGGAAAAAAGAATTAGATTATGCTATTGAGGGGCAGGAATGGAGGACAAACAAATAAAGCAAGTGATATAGTAAAGGGTATAGTAGTGAAACAGTCATGGTTATGCATATAGGAGCTAATGATGTAGGGAAAGGTAGGTCAGAGGAGCTAATTGATAAGAACAGGGTGAAGGCACTTAAGGAAAAGGGCCATAGCTTAAATCTGTTAGGGTTACTGCTGAGACTTAATTGTTGAAGTGAGATTATAAGTATGTCACTAGGGCTGAATGCTAGGCTTTGGTTAATATGTAAGTATGAACAGATTAGACTTATGTCCTATAGGATCAATTTGATGGGAAAAGGAAATATTTTGGAATGAATGGTTTAAAGTTAAATAGGGTAAGGGTTGTTTTGTTTGTAAAGGCTATTAACCCAGCTGTAAGGGTAGTTTTAAACTAGTACTTGACAGTGGTGAGAGCCAGGTGAAACTAAATGCCAAAAAAAAATAAGATGTAGAGAAGAGTGTAGTATAGAAACATTGTATAGAAATATTTTTATGGGTAGGCTAAATTGTTGGTATTGTAATGCTAGAAATATAAGAAATTTAACAGATGAACTTAGAACACAAGTTGGAGGATTTTGATCAAATTGGAATAACAAACTAGGTGAAACATAAACAGTTTTGGTGACAGATATTTCTTTGAAATACAGGGTTATAGGTTATTTAAATGGGATAGAGCACCAAATAAGAAGGGAGGAGTGGCTTTATATATATCAAAGAAAATAGCAAGGAGTTTGAATCTGTATGGGTTTCTGTTAGACGATATAGGGGAGAAGGCCTTTAGAGGGAATGTTTTACTGACCACCAGAAGAAACTGATATTAGTGAGAAACTATACAGTGAGAATAAGGTTTGAACTGTAATGAAGTTATAATTATGGGTGATTTTAATTTCAGACATACAGCTTGGGAAATGTAAAGATAAATCTTGAGTGAGACAGGTTTTTAAAAACTGTTCAAGATGGTTTTCTTCAACTGGTGAGGAACCTACTAGGGACAATGATATTTTAGATTTATTGTTAATATGGTGATACTGATCAAATGTTAAAAACTAAAAATAAATAAATAAATATTCAAGATAGACATATCTCTTGTAGAAAACAAAAAGGTGGCTGCAAGAAAAAAGATCAGGTTGGTTCAGAATGACTATAAAGGATAAAATTAAGAAAATACACATATGTATATAAGAAGCTTAAATTGGCTGCTATGATGGAGAGGATTGTAAAAGATTAAGTGAGTTGGTCAAATGGGAAATTAGGCAGTCAAAAAGGAAATATAAGACTATGAAAAAAAAAGATTGGTTGAAAATATGTAAATTAACAGTAAGGATTCTTTTCAGTGCATTGCATTAAGGACAAGTAAAATGTTAGGATGGGAGTGGGACCTTAGAGGGCTGATAATGGAAGACTAATTTTTTATGATATAGGAGGCCAAGTTACATAATTTTATGAATTGTTGCTAGATGGAAACATGATAAATCAAGATGATTGTATAAATTCTGAGCTTAAGAAAAAAATTGGGAGTTTAAAGAATGATAATGCTCCTAGGTCAGGTAAAATATTCCCAAGGGTTTTGAAGGAAGTTAAGGACTGGATATGAGAGCCACTTGCTACTTTTATATTTTTATAAGCATTTGAATTGTGGCAGGTGCCAGAAGATTGGAAGTTGGTTAATGTTACTCCTCTGTTCAAGGAAGCTGATTCAAATTGTCTGGGTATAGGCCTATTAGTCTTACATCAGTGGTGGAAAATTTGTTTTGAATACACACATATATATATAAACCAACTATTGAACTGATATCCTCACCTCTTTGCAAAAAATAGCTATTTATCATGTGTCTACCTTTGAGATTTTGCACATGCCACTAGCCTTGAGTTAGCCCCCACTTAAAATGTATTTAAGCATGATCTACACTAGTGCATTAGTAATCATCATGTGACAATAGCTCTCCACCAATAACAGGGCAAAACATCCTCCATGCACAGTAGATCCCCCATAAGCAGCTGCACTTGAAATTAACTTCATTCTTTTCCTAGGCACTGTCCTGAACAGATGCATTTCTTGAAGTTTAAATTTTGTTCAATGTTGTGAGATTTATGCTGCCTTTTTTTCCAGTGTTAACTTTTGTTTATTTTATTTTGAAGGTGATTTCAGTATGTCACCTTTCAATTAATACATGCTAAAGAAATATGGAGAATTCCTTGAATTACAATCAGTTGTCAAATAACAGTGAACACTACCTCTTCTAGAGATTCTGCCAATGTAGCTAACACTGACTTTACTTTGTGTATAGCCATTGGAGGCTCATTGACTATGGAGGATTTTACTGTAATTTTTCAATGTTTAGTGGATTCGTTAATGTCTTCATTGCCTCATCTCCCTGTCCCTACATCAGGAGTGCATTCCCATTTTTCTGAACCTGACTGCAAGGATGACGATTTTGATCGGCTTTTTCCACCTCCCAAGTTTGCGCTAGTCTCCTTTTTACCTATAAAGGCCAATGTTTCTTCTCCAAACCTCCTTGTTGATTTGATATCTTGTGTTTGTTCTTTACCTTCCCTTTCACCTTTATCTTTTGAATCTTCCTGTCACTTATTAAATGCCTCTCATTTTGAGGATTATTTGTTTTTTTCTCCTTATCCAGACATACATGTACATTCTGACACATTTCTGGTTCATAATTGGACATACTCTAAAATGCCTTGTCCTCCTCAACCCTAAGACTCCTTTGCAATGGCTTAAGGCAGTTCCCGTTTTCCATTTGTAGACTCGATCCTTGGAGTCTCTGTTACCTACTTTGGGGGCTGACCCCTGTTTCCAGTATTTCTAGTGATCAATTTTCCTGTCCTTGCCTTTTTTTCCTTACCCATCTTCTTTGTTACTTATCCCTTCCATCTCCTTCTGAAGCCCTAGACCATGATCCTGACAGTTTTTCTGGCAATCTACAATTAGTACTTTTCAATACCTTGACAAGGGTTTTGTGTTCTGTTTTGTCCCTGTTTATTTAGTTCCTTTGTTGTTGGGACTTCCGAGATGTAACTCTCTTCTCTCTGCTGTTGATCTTTCCCTTTCTTACCTCCATGGTCTTTGTCTAGCTCCTTTCCTTTGCCCTGAAGTCTTTGGTGGTGTTCCTTTCCTAACATCTTGGAGACTCAGACTGAGGTTGTCTGACACCAGTTCCTCCTTTCTTCCTTGGTTTCTCATCTCTTCCAACCTCATGAATCCATGCACATTCCTTGACCCATGAACCCTCCACCTTTCTCTTTTTTTTTTTTTTTCCCAACTCTTGTTGCTCTATTTCTTCTCCCCTCCCATCCAGTTCTTAGGCAAGATTTTTCTCGTCACTTGTCATCTCTTCCTGCTCTCTCCTTTCCCCATTCCTTTTCTTCCTCCATCCAGTCAACAGTGTCTTCATTGTATTGAGGCTGCAGTATTGAATTTTTTGGAAAGGAGAGCCATCAAGAGGGTCCTTTGCTCCTCTCCAGGGTTTCTTCTCATCATTTTATTGTCCCAAAACAAAAACGGGGACTGGTGTCCTGCAATCAACCTTTCTTCACTCAGTCACTATCCAGTGGTTCCTAAGTTCAAAATGGAGGGTTTTTTTCCTTTCCATTTGTCCTTTTTAGTAATAGTCAGAAGCACTAAGTTTGATTAGTTTCATGAGTTGTGACTAATCAGTTTATCTGAACAACTTTGAATTAATTGAAAATAATAATGAGAAATCATAATGGCACGATTTCAATTACTTGGATAGTTGGAATAATTAAAAATAGTAATAATTGGAAACAGTCATTTTGATTAGTTGATTATATATTTTTGTGACATTAATCAATTTAATCATAATTTTGATTTTTCAATTAATTTATATGGTACTAATCATTGTAATTGATGCTTTTAGACAAATTAATCGTGTTCATTGTCCAGATCTAATCATGATGATAATCTAGTTTTTTGTTGTTTTTTTTGGGGGGGGGGACACCAAGAAAAGATTTTTGTTAGTATCTTACTACATTTTTTAGCTGTCATTTTTATTAACTTTTTAATATATCCACTTTTTAATGGTTTCCACCAGTTTAATGTTAGGAATACTGTAATTTTCCTTTTTTTTTAGGATACTTTTTTTGTTTTCCTTTATTTGTGGAGTCTTTTGAAGAACAGAAGTTTTGGCAAGAAAAATTTATTTGGGAGGCAGCAGTTGGAATATCTGTTGTATTTCCAACAGTTATAATTATGATTGCTCTGTACTGGGCTGTGGAAGACTGGAGGCACCACCCTGCTGTCAAAGTTCTAGCACAATATGGACAGCCATGGAGAGTTGTAGCTGCACGGATAGATATGGAATTTCGAAGGGTAGATAAATTTGCTACTGGTACAGGGACTATGACCAGAGTTATTGTAACAGATTCATGGATAATAAAAACAACCCCTTATCGATTATTTATAATTCAACAAAGTGATGCTTCCCTAACTCTTACTGAGAGTAGTGAACATGCACTTTCACACGTCAGTAACACAGGTATACAGTTCCTGACTATTCATGTCAATAGCCACAGAGATCATGTACCATCTTTTGATATCAGGTAACGTAATAAAAAAAATGTATATGCATTTCTGTTGTTACTTGAAGACATAAATAAATATAATCCGTCAAGTTATGTCTCATTCTCAGTTAAAATAAAACCTACATTCTAAAGTGAATTATATATAAGTTATAATATTAAACATATTAATCTTATGATTTAAAACACTGAGATAAAAGCCTTGAATTTAATACTGAAAAAAGAAGCATTTAAAGAGAAATAGAATCTTCACCAAAATTAAAAATTTCAAAATCAGTGTTCATGTTTTATCTTTGTGGAATTTATGGAAAGAATGTAGCTTTGAATGTGCTCGTTATTGTAAGGTAAGAAGGTAAACAGTGCTGTTGCTTATTGACAGAAAAGTATATCTGATATTAGTTCAGAAGAATAAAATAGTTAATTCTCTTTGCCATTGTGCTTCTATATTTTTTTTTAATACCAACATCTGAAATACATTTAGTTCAATGTGTTGCAGCCAAAAATAATGTCAACAAGGAGATTTTAATTTTTTTGTCTATATATTTATAAAATTAAGTATTTCTAGTCTACTTATTGTATTGGATTATCTTCATTAATGCATATGTTATTTTAAATTTACTTTTGATCTGTTGATCGGAAGGTTTTAATACATATTTCTGACAATAAAACTTGGTATATATTGTTTGTGCTTTCTTTTTATTGAAAACTGGCATAACTGACAGAGAAACTAAGTATTTTTCACTGAGCACTTTTAATGTATTGTATATTAGTAATCGACTCATTTTTCGGAAAACGTAGCTTAATGATAAAACATGAGTGTAGTAACAGGAAGCATTTATTATACGCTTTTAAATCATAATTCCATCATCAGTAATCTGGGGTTACAAGACAAACAAACAATATTTGTGATTACAACAGAAATATATATACATAAGAAATAAACATTGAATATACAAATATAACACGAGAAAAAGAAAACTGAGGCACAAGTGAAATAGTTAAAATAGGTTTAAATCCAGTGTAGACTGTGTGTTATTTAGTGATGGGAGAAGAGTTTTTATGTGTAATGTTTCTTTTATAAGAATTTCAGTATCATGTTTGGCTGTTGAAAGAATTTTAAAGTTTGAGAAAGAAATCAGATGTCCTGTTTCTGTATTGTTCTGATAGATAGCAGAGTTAGGAGGGTTCATAATCTTCCAGTTTTTATGGATATGCCCATATGTCCACATGCTCATACTTTAAGGCGACATTTTGTTTCACCAAAATAGGAGACCTTACAGTCTCTGCACATGTATAAGTAGATGAGATGTGAACAATGGGCAGATGGCAAATGTTTTTTTTAGTGGGAAAAAGTTTTAGTCTGAAGTTGGGTTCATATTGAATTTCAGGTCAATTTGGGGATAGTAAGAGTTACATAACTTTTTCAACTGTTTCGTGATAAGGGAGCTCTGTCTCCCAAGATATGGTAAGCAGGTGTATAAGGGAAGTTTGGGTACAGAGGGTATCTTAGGTGGTTTGACAAACAAATTAGTTAGAAATGAGGAAGTTATTTTCTCCAAGAAATGCATAGGGTAGCCGGTTCAAAAGAGAATGTTTTGTATGGAAGTAATTTCTTTGTGAAGGGCTAAATAGGATAAGGCAAGATTGTAGGCTCTATTTAGTAGACAGCGAATAAAATTGCATTTGAAATAGAAGGGTATAAAACTATCAAAATGTATAAAAAGGCCAGTAAATGTGTTTTTACAATAGACAAGCTGAAAAGCCATTAGCACTATGGTTAACAAGAATGTCCAGAAAGGGAATTGAGTTATTAGTCTCAATTTCATGAGTGAAGTGTATAGAGGGCTGTTGTGAATTGAGATATTCAAGAAAACATTGGATATGATCAATATGGCAGAAAATAAGGAAAGTGTCATCAACATACCTTCTGTAGGGAACAGGTTTGAACAGACATTTATCAATCCAGTTCTGTTCGTGGTGACAGAGAAAAGTGTTGGCCAACATAAAACTCAGTGGGGAGCCCATAGCAACGCCATCGATTTGCTCATATAGAGTATTGTTAAAGAGGAGAAGAGAGTCTTTGGTTGAGAGTTCAAGCATAGATTTGAAATCAGACTTAGAAAATCTATTAACAAGAATGTTTTTAGTGAAGAGATTAGAAAGTGCAATATTAATGGTTTTGTCCAGGGGAATATTAGTAAAAAGAGAAGTAATATTGCAGCTAGCCATCACGTGATCTTTAAGGGGGGAAGGGAATTGACTGATTTATCGGGAAAATTGGAAGGAGTCAGGTGTTGTAAATTCATAAATAGCAAAAGGTTTTAAGATGGGTACAAGGAATTTATAACTGTGAGTGCCTAAGGTGAAAAGTATAGGTCGGAGGGGAGTGTCTGGTTTGTGAACTTTTGGCAGACCATATAATATTCCAGGTTGGGAGCCTGTGGGATATAAATTATTGTAAACACAATCAGAAATAATATTTCTTTTGCTTAGGTTTCTAAGAAATCTCTGGGTTTTCCCTTCAAGTTGTAAAGTATGGGTTAATGGTTCCTTGTTTATAAGTTTGAACTTGTTGTGGTTATTAAGAGTATCAAGCTTTTTTTTTATCATAGTCAACTTTGTTGAGGATAACAACTCTGTTTCCTTTGTCCGGACAGATGATGATGATATTTTTGTTTCGGGAGAGTTCTTTGATAGCTGTGAGCCTTTCAGATTTCAGGATGTCCTATGTGTGTTATAATTACAGAAAGTGAAGAGTGCTTTTTTTACCTTAGTAGTAAATAGTTCTCCTGCTTGTTCAGAAGTATTCTTGGAAAAAATAGATTTTATATTCCAGTACAAGGATTCCCAAGGATAGAGGTAACTGGCATAATTGAATTTTGAGGAGGGTATGGAGAAGTTCAATCCTTTAGCAAGTGCTATATATCAACACAATAAAGAAACAGGACATTTGATTTCTCTCTCAAACTTTAAAGTTCTTTCAACAGCCAAACATGATACTGAACTTCTTATAAAAGAAACATTATACATAAAAACTATTCTTCCATCCCTAAATAACACACAGTCTTCAGTGGATTTAAACCTATTTTAACTATTTCACTTGTGCCTCAGTTTTCATTTTCTTGTGTTATATTTGTGTATTCAATTTGTTTATTTCTTATACATATATATATATATAAATTTCTGTTGTAATTATTGTTGTATTGTATGTTTGTTTTGTAACCCTAGATTAATGTTGATGGAATTATGACAATTCTGAAACATCTATTATTGTATATGTAATATTATGATATACAGTTAGTAGTATCATAAATTCAATTTCCTATTTGGCTGTACTTCTTGTGTTCTTAGAGTGAACTCCCAAGAATATAATGATTTGAGGGACAAACTACAAGCACCTTTGGAAAATGCACGAAATGTTGTTGTGCATCGAACTCTGAGTGATCGTTTTCTGGAAGCATTCAGAGCTATTGTCGAGCAAAACTCAAAGTACCCAGTGCCACCAGATATTGTAAGTATTTTATGTTGTCCTGAATGATTCCAAGGTTCACTAGGATTTTGGTTAAGTTTGCTTGGTCTTAATCCTGACTAGTTTTATAGTTACTGTTCATACTATAAAATTAATAAACATGACATGAATTTAGCTTCTCTGTACAGTGTGATGATAGTTAAAAAAATTACTTCGTTAGAATTATAGGAGGATTATAATATTTCAACTTAAAAACATTTATTCAACTGAACTTGGAATAGTGAAAAATATAAGAAAAACCACTGAAGCTATATGTATGTCACACTATTAAAACATGAGTGTTTTTTTAAACTTTATTGATGTTTTTAACTGCTCCAGTTTTAGCCAAGTAAAAAGTTTGACATAATTTTTTATTGTGGTAGATTAATAAACCAAATTATATGAGTGGCAAAATGCATGTACTTCAATGTCTTCATGTATTTCTAGAGAGTAAACAACCCTTTACTTACTGAATTTTAGTATGGAATTTAAAAATTACTCAACATTATCTTGTATTATAGTATACACATACAGTCATATTGCATTTTATTTAAGCTTGGTGTTCTGACTTGGTACACTGTGTTTCCTTGCATGAAGAAGGATCATGGGCTGAATAATTACATTTTTAACATTGGTATACATTATTAACAATTGATAAACTATGAATCATTATATTTAATAAATTAGAAAGTGCATTTAGCTTGTTGGTGCTGTCTTCAAGCATTGATATTGGACACTTGTGTGTAAAAAAAAGCAGTTTGTATGTACTGCTGTAATTTACTGGCTGTTATAGCATTCTGGTTTCACTTAGTTCATTTGTCTTTTAGATACAATGTATAATTTTTAACTTACATGCATGGTATAAGCTTGTACAATACATTGTCAAGTTTATGAACTAAATTTAAAAGTGGAGACTTTATGCATTCAGATGAACTTGTGTGTGTGTTGAATTATGCAGTATGTTGCGTATCTGATGTAGTTTAGATTTATACATGAATTGTCTTTTGTCTCAATATAAACATGAAAAATTTGGTTTCTTTCTTAGAAGTCAAATTGCACAATGTTACACGTACAAGCCATAAACCACAATGAAATTGATCATTAATTGCACATAAAGTATTTAATTTGTCCATCAGAACTGTGTTTTTAGGCAAACTCATATTTCATACATTGTTTATACATATTTATTATGAGTTATACTGATATTTTCATCCATTTTTAATACAGGAGAAAAATATTTTGCAAAAAATATATACATAGCTCTATTTTGATTAAATTACAAGTAGAGTGAAAACAATGTTTTCAGCAAGAGTAATAAAGGAGTACAATATTGTATGTAGCAATAGCTACAGTAAATGAAACAAACTGTTAGAAGTCTTGATATTAGACAAACTAGTTTTGAAAAATTCATGTCCTCTTCACACTTATTTACTTAAGCCTGTTACCCCATTTAGAGCATAGGCCATCAACAACTGTTGTTCAGCTGACTTGACTCTTGGTTGTCCTGTCCACCTCTCTCCAGATATTCCCTGCTCATCAGTCTAATGTCAATTTTATCACATGAAACTGAAGTGAACACACTAGTGTGTCAAAACTAGTTTCTCCAGTATCAAGACTGAGGGTTTTTCCATTTACTATGGTTTTTTCAGCCTTCATTTTCTCATTTCATATGTCCATTATTGCTTTAGGATAATTATTTTGTAATTTGGTTTAAGAAAGCCAACTTTGAAGCATAGGATGACTCAAGTTCTTCTTAATATTTAGTAAGAGCCACTTTACTAAAAACCTGAAATGCAATAAGTGTATTAGTACTGAAGGGTTTCACATATTAACATAAGAAAATTGTATAAATCACTTGTAGTATGGTATTCCTAAACATGAAAGGAGTAGTGCTATTTTTTCTATCACATACAAAAAAATATTTATAATTATGAAAACATGGCTTGTTTTTCTGATTCATTATTAGATGAACTAGTATTGTAGTATTAACAGTTTTTATCAATGCACCATTTATAGACTCAAGGTAATATGATGCATATTATACAATTCTTCTTTATCTACTATCAAATATTCCATAGCTTTTTTGATTTCATATTACAGGAGATTGATAGTTGCCTTGGATGTATGCAAGTTCCAGCCAGTGTGAAGCTACAAAAATTATGTGATGATCCTTTAGTAGGGGAGTGCCAGCAGTGCTTCTGCAGACCAATGTGGTGTCTTGACTGTATGGGGAAATGGTTTGCTAGTCGTCAAAACCAGAATAGACCAGAAACCTGGCTGCAAAGTCGTTGCCCATGCCCGTCGTGTCGATCATTGTTCTGTATGGTAGATGTCTGTCTTGTTGAATGATAAACTGGTTTTAAATGCGCATATTTCAAATAAAAAGAAGAAAAACTGTTGTTACTGAAAAAAAAGTTTCAAACTTAAAATTTTTATTTTGTACCAATAAGTCTTTTTGTTGACATAAAATATCAGCTGTAAAGGCTGCTTGATCCTGTTTCACATCATCTGTTTTCAAAATTTAACTTTTTTGCTGCATGATGCCATAGGCTCTAAGCCATAATATCTGTTTCTATTCATGCAAAGTTCTATATGATCTATGGCATGTACTAACCTTTCTTCCCTATATTCCCACACAGGTGTATTTATCTTTGCTTCACACATAATGTATCCCAGAGGAATCCTCAAGTATTCTAACAGTTATATGTTGTATAGATCATATTTCAAAGTTATGTGATTACTGCATATCTTCAGCAGGATAACATACTTCTACAGAATTTTTGGGATAAATCTTAGGGTTTCTTTGACATTAACAACTTTACTTCTGCAAGTGTATGTTGCTGTTTAGTCATGAGAAAATATAAAATTAAACATGATTCTAGAAAAATCAAAGCACTGTGTGTTGTAGAAACCCCAAAATACATCTAAAATAAGCATTGAATACTGGTTGCCTGTAAAGTGTACACTGCATGTTTGTATATCAAAATACAGTAGAACGTTAATTTCCTGGAAATGTTAATCAACTGAACAGCCATAGGCCTAAAATTTTATAGATAGAAAACAATCCACATCCATTGTGCTGGAATTCTAATCCATATTTGTGCATGTATACCTAGTGTGCTTTACAAGTATGGTAAGAAAATTTTTAAATGCATATGATAGGTAGACTTTTTCTGTATGTTTAAGTGTTTAATAACTGACCAAAATGCGTATACAGTTACTTACAATGTTTACATTTTTATCTTTATTGTGTGTATTGTGTATTTTTGTTATTAGAAGCTTATACTCTAGCTTTACTCTTTGTATTGGTTTCTCAGTAGTTATAGGTTTTTAGTTTTTATATCAGTTATAAGCTGTAACTTTGATATTTGTTATAACTTTTTCTCATAGTATATTACTATCTTTGAAACTGTTTGATTTTACATAGAATTTAATTTATATTCCTGCTTCCCCGAAGAAGGAAGTAAAATTGGTTTTCAGCTGTAAATAAGTTTCATAACTGAGAGCAGTAGGCCTAAAAATCTTATGCAAGTGATTTTTTTTTGTGCTATTAAAAGATGAATTAATATGAGACATAAAACAAAGGATTCTATTATGAAATCATAAACATGTTCTAGTGGCTTGGAAAATGTGTAGTGAAAATTGCAGCATATTAACAAGATATAGAGAACTACATAGGGACTAAACAATGCTATCATGGTGAAAGGGGTAAGGTCTTGTGATGAATGTACTTGATTCTAAACTTCTATGAAAAACATAGCAGTTTCTTTTGTTACTTCTTATTTTGGACTTGTATATCATTTTTGTTTTCTTTTTATGCAATCTTATTAAAGTTAATTTCTGATACAGTACATTACCTCATCTCACATGTATAGCTATTCTTTTTCAGTGCTGCCCTCTATGTGCAAACATTTTTCACATGCTACAAGCCTAGAACTCCCACATACCCACAATCACTGTGGTTGAATTGCATCTTGCATGTAAATCATCATGCAACAACCGTCCACCAATAGGAGTGCAATACACCGTCTTGATACATGTGACTCACTCTATTCGATTTTACCAAACTATCACTTCTCATTAGGCAGTGATCTAGTGCAGATATTTTTTAATTGTTCTCTGTTCATGTGTTTTGTTTAAAATGTCTGTGAAGTAGTGATTTCATTTAAATATTTTACTAGAGTTTGTTTTTTGTAGTTTTGATGTGATAACTAACCTTTGATTCTTCATATTGTTTTTGAATTCTTCACCATTTATGATGAATTCCAAAGTTTGTGCTACCACTTCGGATTTTTGTCCACTTACTTCCAGCACACTTACCCAAGCTTCAGGTTTGGGGCCCACGACTGATGAATTTTTGGCTTTAATACGTCAGGAGATTGATTGTTGTATGAGCCGACCTTTTTTTCCTGATATTGCCTGACTTCCTCATGAATCTGCTGAAGCTGTTCATGACGAGGAGGATTTTGACAGCCTTTTTCCTCCATCTAACTATGCTGTGCCTTCCCAAGCCTCTCCTGTGGAATCTGCTAGGTGTAACTCAGCCTTTTTAGATGTGATTTCCGAGGTGTGTTCCATTTTATCCATTTCACTGATTTTTTTATGATCCTGTTCCTTCCTTATTACATGACATTCCTTCCTCAGATTATTTTGTTTTCCCTCCATCTCCTGACATCATGTTTCATGCTGAGCATTTTGTTTCTCAATTGAGAGTGGTGCTAGCATGCTTTACCCTCCCAGGACCTCCGATCATTTTGCCTTGGTTTACCATCAGGCTGATCAAACTTTTCTTGATTTTCAGCTATTGGAGTCACTTTTGCCTGTATGAGGGCTGACCCTGAATATCCTATCTATCCATTTATCCCATGCACAGTTTTTCCACCTCTGTCTTACTCTTATTGCTCTCGTGTGGTACTTGCCATACACTTCCTTTCTGAGGCAATCCAATGATCTCTTGAGAGGTTTGTGGGGATACCTTTTCCCTCATTACTTTTATGTTGGCGCAATTGTCCTCTATCCCTTCATATGTGTTTTTTTTTTGCTTTTGGAATCTTCTTGGAAGGGATGCTGTCTTGTCACAGGTTCATCTACCATCCACTTATCTTTGGAACTTATGGATCACTCCTTTTCTCCATTGGTCTATTTCTGGTGATATTCTTGAGTGTTTGGAATCATGTGTGGAATATGTTAGACACCATTTGACCCTTTGATCTTTTGTTGCTGATTGGTTTCACTCTGAGTCCTTACACTGTCCTGTTCCTTACCCTGTATCCTCCCACCTTTATCTGTTCCTACCTCTAGGAGTTCAGCTATTCATGTTTCTTGACATAGGTTTCATTGTCGCCAATAGTACTGGTGATAATCCAATGGGGGTATGTTTATCCAATTTTGTTTCCCTATGGCGAGAATTCGCTACAGAACCTTGGGTTATCCAGATTTTGTCAGAAGGACTTTTAAATCTTTTTCTTTTCCCCACCAATTGTCTCCTGTATCTATATCATTTCCATTACCTTGGGATTCTACTACCATTCAGCATCTATCCCATGTTAACCATGCAGTGGGCTTTTTCTCTAGGACTGTGGATGACCAAGGTAGTCACCTTGAATGGTTTTCTCCATGTTCCTCTTTCTCATCAGTCCAGATGCTATCTTTGGTTTGTCCACCACAGGGTTGTGTGTTGGTTTTGCACCTTGCCCTTCATGCTTGCTTTGGCTTCGTATGTCTTTTGTCGGGTGGTCAAAGTCTAGGCGTGACTTCTGCATGCTCAGGGGTTGAATTTACACTACTAAATGGATGACTGGTTTCTGTTAGGTCATTCCCAACTGGAATCTTCACAACATATTCATCTGCTTCTAACAGTGGGTTGGATTCTTAAGTTGGAGAAGTCATTCCTATTACCTACCCAATATCTTATCCACGTGGGTGTCTTTTTCAACACCCACCTCAGTCTTGCCCAACCTTCTCATTTGAACTCTGTTCAGTGGAGCTTTCAGTTTTCCATGCCCTTGCTGCTTTCTCTGCTTCTGCTTGTGAGGTTCTATAGCTTGTGGGGACTTGGGCTTCTATGGGAGCACTTATCCCCTTGGGTCAGGTACATGTGTGGTCTCTTCAGTGGACTCTGCACAACCAATGGAATTTTGCTCGGGATCCCTTGGAATCTCTCATTTAACCTTCCAGAAAAAGGGTCCCTTTTAAACAACTTGCATTGGTGGTTGAACAAGAACAACACGATGATGGCTATACCACTTCCTCCACCTCATTTGGATTTGCATCTATTCACAGGTGATTCTCTCCACGGTTGGGGTGTGTGGGTCAATCAGCAGGAGGCTTCTGGACAATGGTTTCCAGCTGAGAGGTCTTACCATATCAACATCTTGGAGCTTCTGGCAGTACAAAATGCTTTGAATTACTTTCTTCCTTTTGTATGGAACTAACTTGTTATGATCCATTCAGACAATTCTACAGTGAAGGCTTATACCAATCACCAAGGGGGCACCAGTTCCCTTTGTAGTCGAACCTTTGAACTCCTTTCTTGGGCCCACATGCTGAGGATAGATCTTCTTGCGTGTCATGTTCTGAGTGCTTTTAACCTTGTGGCGGATCATCTTTCCAGAACAGAAAAAGTTTATTCCATGGAGTGGTCTCTTGACCCTCAGGTTTTCCAGTGGCTATGCACTCAGTGGTGTACTCCTTATCTAGATGCATTTGCCACTTTCCTCAATACCAAGTTATTTCTTTTATTTTTGGTCTTTGGTTCCTTATCCTCTGGTCCTAGCTGTGGATGCTCTCAGTGAGGGTAATTTTTCCTTTTTGCCAATTTCACTCCCATCCATATCCCACTTCTATGTCCCATACATGATCTTCTTTGTTATATTACCTACATGGCTTCCATCTGTTGTTTCCATTCCCACCATTTCATTTTCATCCCCTGGCAACATTCCTGAGTTTGTTCTCGTTCTCCTTCTACCCTAACCAACTCGTTTCGGCAACTAATTCGATTTGCATATTCCTCCATGTCTCTTTCTTCCTAAAATTTGTTCCAGGTGTCATCGCATCAGATCCAGCACTTTACTTTTTCTATAGTGTCTTACTTCCATCATATGTTGGAGATAATTCTTTGGTTGGGCATGTGATTTACACCTCATATGTTCATCTATCATTATTTTCATTGGGTGGCTGTTTCTTCCTCATTTGGGTGCCATCTTACACCTGTCACCATCCTTCAAACTTTCATGAGGCTGTGTCTGGGTAAGTTGTCTTTTTTATATTTCTATCTTTTTTCATTTCAGTGGCATGTCCCCCTTTCATTTAAGATCCCACTCAGGGAGAGCAATGCCTGTCCAGATATACTTGCTATTTCTCAAATCTGTACTGTACAGCCAAATTGTATACCCATGGCTTATAATGCAAGCTGTTGAGGTGGGGTGTTCCACAAGATTGCTCACAGGTTGCCTCATAATATGTATGCTTCATAATATGTCCGTACCAAACCGTACTCACCCATAGACTTACATTGGTAAAGCAGAAGGGGATAGCTGACTGTCCCTGCTGTTCCTTCAATTCAAGGTTTTTCTTGGTCACCCATTGCACTGTCTCCAGTATTAGCATTCCTCCAAACTCTCCATCACATTTTGTACTCTTCCCCCCCCCCCCTGTTCTTCTAGTATTGGAGTCCTTGACACTTTCCAGTTCTGAGCTGCTGGGGTGGTGGACCATGGAGGAGTCCTCCTGAATGTTATCAATTCCATTTCGTTGAGAGTAGGACAGTGGTGTTCTGCTGGTGCAGATGGTATTCAATCCTCCAATCATGCACTCCACCTCGGTGTGGTGAATCCTGGAGTTTGATGTTGTACCCAGCTTCTGTGTGGTTCTATCCAGAAGGTGAGGTTGTTTATATTTTCCAGATGAGATCTACTTCTGTGCGGTGGGACCCATAGGATGGAATTGCACTCTAACGTCTGTGCAGTTCTATCCAGGGGATGATGTTGCACATGTCTACAAGTAAATATGCTCCACCTCTGTGGAAGTTAATGTTGTGCATAACTTTTGTGTGGTTCTACCCTTACCAGCTGGGTTCTGCAATCGATTTGATTTGCATATTCCTCCATGTCTCCTTCTTCCTGAAATTTGCCATGCATTGGTGACCCAGAGGTTGCAATTGTGCTCCATCATTTGTGCAGTCCTATCTGGAGGATGATGTTGCTTTTGGAGTAGATCCATCACATTTCAGCTCACCCCGTCAATTGAGATCCCTCATCCTACCATCACCTGGAGTGGCTGTAGATTAGAGCTGAACCAATCAACATCAGT